CTCAGGTCAAGAATTAGAGCTGCTGGACTGGCACAGGTGCTGTGCTTGACTAGTTTTCAGTTTGATTCGTTTCCAAACGTTGACCCCGGATCATGTACAGTACCCATTTATGATCGTTTATGTACCCGGATATCCCTTTTTTTGAGGTGTGTCCCATTACCAGTAACAGTTCGGTAAAATTTACAATCATTGCTTTGGGGAAACAACATCATCCACCAAACGCCAACCAACCTGGGTTTCTGGGATACCCTGGCTCCTCATAGCCCCTGGTCAGGTTCCGGCCTTTCTGGTCATTGTCACCGCGTATTGGCTCATTCATTACCTCTTCGCTTCACAGGACAAGAAAAAGCGAGTCGAAAACGGTCGAAAGTAGCAACGGACTCGAGCTTCACGGATGATGTCGCCTCACCTGACAGGTTGCACATGTCTCGGCCTTGTTCCAGCCGTTTTTGGTCATGTTAGTCCTTGCCTCAGACCAACCAACCAAACGACGTTTCGACCTGTTTCGACCTGTTTCGTGTTGCGGCGGATCGCTGCAGCGAAGCGCTGCGCGTGCGCGCGCGCGCGCCCGCGCGCGTGCTGTTCGAGGTCGAGACTGGAACTCCCGGGATCCCGGCCGTTTTCGCGTTGGCCTTTGTGTCCAACCTTTTCGCAACTCTGACGCCCTATGTCGCCGCCTGAGCATGGAAGGCGTATTTCAGGGGCAACACGAGGGGGGATTGAGGGGGACGGTTTGGACGGTCATTCCAGCTTCCATTGGGGGGTTGTAAGGCTACCAGCGCTAGTAGGGGCGTTAAGACGCCCGAAAGACCGAGATGAACCATCTAGTTTCCACATGTCATTCGTTTTGTGCCTGAAGAATCTGCCGAGCACGACAAACCAGACCATCCAACAAACAATAGCAGCCGGACGACTGCATGTACAACATTGTACAACACTGAGGCCTCTGCGCAGTCGGCGGTTCTGTTCGCTGGACATTACATTACTGCATTTGAATGGTACAAGGCGACCAATTCTTGCAATTTCCTTTCGACACGCACCCCTGAGCTTTCACCTCAGGCTGGCTTTGTTTATATGCTTGCCTACTACATACAATGGCTCGTAGTCGGAGCTGATCTCAGTGTTTTGTTGCTTCGCTTTCAACAGCTTCGGACTTTGTAGTAAGGTGCTGTGTGGTGGCGAATGATTGGACTTGTTTGACTGAAAAAGTGGTCAGAACACCATATCCTTTGCTGCCCAATTGCGGCTCCCAAGCTTTGATAATCTTCTCCAGATGTGCGAAATCGTCGGAGCAACTTTTCTGGCGCAAAGAACGATCGCACGTCCAGCACCATTTGGATGTGGCTCCACAAATTAACAGAGACCGTACAGCACCGAACCTGGAACTGAGTGGGCTTATTTTGGAGCCTATTTTGGAGCGACATCCATTAATATTTTGATTAAATTTGTGAACACTCTTGCGATCCTGTTCGGCCTGCAGTCAGAGTGACTGGGCCCATGGTGGCCCAATGGGGCCTGACGGACCTGGCTGGACATCTCTCCGTGGCACGCCGGAAAAGCCGTCTCCGATGGGTCGGTCAGTCTCCAATGGGTCGATCACCACTCGAACCGCTCGAACCGCAGATGATGACGAGCGCCGTGCTCGTTGGCCAGGTCCAACTCCGTGGATTTGATGTGCTTAGCCGACCAGCTGGGAGTTCCGTGGCCGCCGGCATGTCATGAGCTCGTTCTTTTTAAATTGGAGATGACATCTCACGTTTTTTTGGGTCAAAGCGAGTTTATTTATGTATTAATCAATTCACGTATCATTATGCTTGAGTGTACCCATATGCAATTGATTGTTGAGACTTTGGATATCTTTAGATAACAGGTAGCCCGCCTCGGAAACACATGCGCTGCTTGTAATATATGGGATTATACATATCCTCCCAGCGCCAGGCGACTTTTCGAATTTGCACAGCTTTGGGTGGCTAACCAACAGGACGAGACGGCTTTGTGGGTTAATCGCATGTTTGCAGGAAGCAGTTCAGGTGCCGATTCAATCGTGTGTGAAGTCATGTCCCTGGATGCCGCTCCTGCAGCTGTTTGAAGCCAGACGAACCCAACAACTCAGATACTTCAGTTGACCCAGGTGCACTTTTTGTTGACTGCATTTTCATGCATTTTCTTCCAAAGCAGTTGCGCTTCTATCGCATCAGTTAAAACTGCCAAAAGAACAAAAAACCATTGTCGAGCATTCAACTTCAGTCACATTCTACAAGACTGATTTTCTGGGTCAACCTTGACCTGACCCCTTCGAAACGGATGCTGCAAATATGGCTTAGCCATTCGGCCGGGCCTCCAGCTACCTGTTTTGGCATTTTGGCTTTCGATCTGAGCGGACCACGTCTGAGCATTTGGATAGCCGCTATCAGGATGGGCCATCATTCCTCTGCACTCTCCAGGCAATTGGTCCATTTAGCCTGGCGGGTGGGATGAGTTTTGTGAAAACCCGGTGACCGACCGTTTTTTTTGCTGTAACAGAATCAACCTTGTAAGGTCATGGTTACCAGGGCTGGGAAATCGGGCGGCGGGTTTTGGACTCACAGCCAGGGCTGTATTCGATGCTCAACGTCACGAAACGACCAACGTCACAAATTATGATGGGCGTCTCACCCCGGAACGCACGATTGGCTTCACGCTGCCTTCCAGGTTGGCCTGTGGGCCTGGCGTTCCCGGAGAGTTCGAGTTCTTGCCGTATACAAGGCCGAGCCTGGCCAGGATAGCTTTATGATAGACGGTCTAATGAACCACCTGCCCAAAAACATTGTGCACACCATTCTGATTGCTTGATCCATGACTATCGAAAAAATAACAGAAATAACTATATATATATATATGCTACCCCCCCCCCAAGTACCCCCGTTTTTCTTCAAGTGCATGCAGATAGACCAGATGACTGCATTTTCATGTCACAGCAAAAAGACACTTGCATATGTATTGCGTAGGATGCACCAGATTTCAAATTGATGACAATAAAGAATGGGTACCTATATCATGACCGTATAAGAGATAGTGAGACATGCAGTATTGACAAGAGAAAAGCATTCACTCATTCAGCCAGTGAGATTTCAAAAATTCCTGTCTTCGGGGAGTTTGATATTTGGAAGCCCTATGATTTGAATGTTATTTCAGAAATCTGGGCGATTATACACTGTATTTAGTTCAGGCATGTCATGGAAACATATTCTTTAACAAAAAGTTTAACTTAAGTATATGCTATAAAAACTGATGCACTACACATAGCCAAGAAAGACTTAAAGAAGGCTAGGAAGATACTAGAGTTTGGAAGGGAGATTGGCAACTGGAGAGTTGAAAAGATGAGGATAAAATCTTCTTCTGGCTGGTATGCATGGAAACATAATGAGTTGATAAAAATGCCGGCGTACAAACATGAAAGTATTGAAGTAGAGGAGGAATGGAACACAGAAGAGATATGTAAACAAATAATCAGAAAGAAGAGGGTTATATAGGCACACATCTGGAGAAGATGGGCTACAAAACTCTATTTATAGTTCCTCAGAATATGTTGAAACAGGATATTGAATGTGAAGCGGTGACATTGAATGTGTTCCTTGGCATTGGCATTGATAAAACAAACAGCCTACCAAAGTATGATTATTCAGGGTTTGATGCAATAGTCTTTGATGAACTCTATATGTCTTCACCTTTTATATTGAACAAGATAAGGCAGTTTACCCTGAAGAATCCTAATAAAATTATCATTGCAGCAGGTGATGTCAAACAACTTCCAAGCATAGAGCCTTATACTAACTGTCAGAATGTTGAAGATTATGTTGGTAATTGTATTGACATAATATTTAAACATAACATCGTTTTAAAGATATGTAGGAGAGTAGGGGGCAAAGACACTGAAGCAGGTGAGAGGAACAGGAAGAAATTAGATGAGATATATGACCTCTGGATTAAAGACATGAAGATTTCAGATTGGGTAGCTAAGCATTTTAAGTTTACAACTGATATTATGGTGAGTGAAAACAACATAGCGTATACCAACATCAGATGCCAGGCTCTGGCAAATGAAGTCAGAAAGAGACTAGGCAAGAAAGATAAATATGAAGCAGGTGAGATTTTGATATGCAGACTTTACAGACATGAAACGGAAGGAACGTTTAATGTGAATATCAGGTGGACGATTTTAGAAGTGAAGGGTGGAATGATAAAGATACAGGACATTAAGGATTCATGAAGAAGAGAGAAAGTGGCAGACAAGCATTTTAGATATGCATACTGTGCTACCTGTCATAGTAGACAGGGGACATCAAAAAGTGGCAATATAACAATACATGAGTGGCAGAGAACAGAGTTGGTGAGCAAAGAGTGGCTGTGGTGTGCTATCACAAGAGCTAGAGATTTCAACAATGTATACTTCTTTAAGAATGAAAAAGCAGATGAGGAGATGTTTAAGAATTTGGTGTTGAATTATTTTAAGGGAAAATGTGAAGGATACAAAGGACAAGATAGATCCAAACACAGAGAAGTTCCACAAATTTTTAAACGTTTTAAAACTTTTTTGGAACTAAGAACTAAGAACTAAGATTTCCCCACACTCTCCCACAGCAATCTTAATTCCAGAAAACATTGCCATACAATAGTTTCAAAAAAGTTTTAAAAGTTTTAAACTTTTCCGGAAGTAAGAACTAAGAACTAAGATTCCCCCAGACTCTCCAACAGCATTCTTAGTTCTTAGTTCTTAGTTCCCAAAAGTTTTAAAACTTTTAGAACTTTTTTGAAACTTTCTTGACCTTCAGATGTGGGAAGTAAGACTTGTCCCCAAGAGTTCTGTGCATTCTTAGTTCTTAGTTCTTAGTTCCCCAAAGTTTTAAAACTTTTAAAACTTTTTTGAAACTTTCTTGACCTTCAGATGTGGGAAGTAAGACTTGTCCCCAAGAGTTCAAACAATATATATGGTACCCCCCCTGCACATCTGACACCAAGACATGAAACATGTCTTTACCTCCAAGTTTAGTGTGAACCACACAGAAATGGGGGTACATGGGGGGGCTATCCATGACTCAGTCAGACGGCTCGCTGGTGAACTGTTCCTGTTGCGAGTCGGTCCGACCTCGGACCCACTTGTGAGGTTGGAGCATGATTTGGCCTCTTCCTCACAGGAGTCCAAGAATCGCAAGACCGCACTTGCTGGCAAAGAGGCTCAAAGATTGAGTTGGAGAGGTGCAAAAGATTGAAGCCTGAAGCAACGCATACAGGCTCTACTGGCACGCCATCAACAACGGTTAAAAACTCGATCTGACTGCAGCTTCTTGATGGGGGCCTTGCGTCCATATCTCAGCAGAACAATATTCTGTGATTTCGATGAAAGGCTTTGTTCCTCCCAGGTGCAAGCAGCCTCTTCAAGAATGTTGGAAATGATCATCTTGAACGGCTAGTAGCCTGTGCCTGAACTAGTTCTGCTATTCAAACGATTTCAAACGCACATGTTTTGTCGTGTTTTGATGTGTTGGGCGTCCTCTACTCCAGGGCTCCCTGGAGTACTATGAGTTTCAGATGGGAGACACGATTCAGCAGGAAGGTTCCATGGAGTCCTCGTGCCCTGTTGGAAGAGGACAACGGTCCAGGACTCCACCAGGTGGTGTCCGAACTTCGCGGTTTTGGAGGTCCTCAATTCAGAGAGGATTCACGGTTTCATACGTTTTCTATCCTTTTCTATCTTTTTTTGGGGTTCACATGGGTTCACTATAGTAGCCAGAAACTGACCAGAACATGATTTCGATGCTTTTTTGATCTTTTTCCTACGTCAGTGCGTGCTTTCCTATGAGGTACATTTTCGTGGCCCATGGACCGGGACTGGACTTTGTGCTGCAAGGCGTCGTCGTTCTGAGCTCAGGGGCCGAACCAAACGATGTGTCGTGCTCGATAATCGGCACGCATGCCGAACCGCATGCCGAACAATGTAGACTCTTGGATGGTCATGTAGACTCTTGATGAGATTTCATCCATTTTCATCCCCCCATATGACGAGGTGTTTCAATCCATGTCTGGAGGGGGTAGTTGCTAGTGATGAATCAATCAAGAGTCTTCGGCAGGGTGAAGCGAGAGCTGATGAGTGTGCTCGCGCCGAAGCGGCGCTGGCGCTTGCGCCTTCAGGTCAGCTCTTTATCGCCTGGCCAGACCTTTGGGGAGTCCTCACTCCCGCAGAAGCCTCTCAGCTGAATGAGTTCAGGTGGAAGATGAAGCTACATAGCAAGGCCCCCAAAGAATCAATGGAGATGATCATAGCTAAGAGTTTTTTTGCAATGGTGTTGTTTGGTTGAACATCTAAACGAGTTGATATTGAACATCTAATCTAAACAATGCCCTCAGGGTTGATTGGGGCCAATCTTGGAATGGAGGCTGAGGACACCAAAAACAGATGCAGAACCTCGCAGAACCTCGCATGGGAGAGGGATAAAACGTAAGGGCCTGTCTGATCTGTCTGACCAAATGGTCATCTTTCTTCCACTCTATTCCCAGATCATTCGGAAGAAATGCTCCACAAACCTCAGGAGAACATGACTTCCCCATCTTTGGCGCCGGTGGGGCGCCGGTCGCACGGTCACACGGTCACCCAGGTGTCCTCACAGCTTCTCGGTGCTCGCGGCGCGAAAGACCGGCGTTTGGGCTGCGCCGAGCCAGCTCTTCCGAGAGGCCGGTTCTCGGGGAAAACCGACGGACTTTGGCAATTTTTTGGGTGTGGCGGCGCTGGTTGCGCCCTTGAGGCTAGATTTATCAAGCTGCACACGCGAACATGTGCAGTCTCGCAATCCGCATGTTTTTGACGTGCCCAACTGAAGAGAAAGGCGTGCGTTCTGTGTGTGGAACCAGATTCACAGATGGATGGCATAACAGAGCCACTTGAAATGATCAAGCTTGTCTTCCAATCTCGTTAGCATGGCTGGCAATGTGGATGACAGGATGACACTTTCCTCGAACAATTGTCCACGGTGACCGGACCATGTTCCATAAATGGCTTTGGTGTTTGCAATGTTTAATGATATGGCATTCAGCACACTTCCTCTCGTGATAGTGCATTGTTCACCATGGTGACGGGCACTCATAGGACCAGGCCATGTTCTTGTTACTAGTAGTAAGGCCATGCAGGAGCTACTAGTAGCGTCCTCTTGCTCCGTTCGCAGCGATGCCCAACTTGTTACGTTCGTAGCGTCCTCTTGTTACTATTTCACAAAAACTCAATTTCTTTCTGGCTGAAAGCGATCTTCCAACCAAGGCTGTAGCAATGGTGCTGCAATGCATGCTGCCTTTTTCTATTGAAGATCATCCAACCTCCAACCAAGTTTCCTTTACAAGGCTACTAGAAATCTACAAAGCATGGCCGTCTATGGCATGTGGTCCTAGTTGGAAGGGGAGAATCAGGTGGCAGAAGCAAACCTAAGCAGCTACACTTCAATGCTTGGCTCTTGAAGATGCTCTTGAACCCTGTTTGAGCGGCTTTCTTTGGGCGGTTAGAAAGGCGATCTTGGCATCTGTCGTGCAGCAGGCGCGGTGAAGTAGTGGAATGCTGTTTGATTTGGGTGTCAAAATAGAGATCAGACAGCACACCTCTGGGAAATGGATCCTCCCAAAGGTATGCACACTGTATCACACTGTATATAATATATATCTTTATAACATTTTATAATTTATATCTACAAAATCCCATGCAAGGCCCCCACCCCCTACTATATCTTGGCCTCGATGGACATGGTAACTCTGTCTTGACCCCCATGCCGAAATAGACATCAGGTTTCAGACATCAGGGCCTTTCTCGAGAAGGCCAGCTTGACTCGAGTAGGCCTTTCATGATTGCATTTGAATTTGATCTGAATCTTGCAGAGCTCGGAATCCGAGGTGCCTTTGCTGCAAGGGTTGTCACCACGCGAGTTGGATTGTGTGGCGGACATGTTGGAGTCTCAATTACTGTGCTCGCCTGCCCGCGTGGCCAGTCAGCTCTTTGAGGTGTGCTATTAAAACATATTCGGCTGGTGAGTTTCCAGCTCATGCTGCATCTGAGCTCTGGCCTTACCGAAAACACAGCGCGACAGGCCAAATCGAACATTTTGCTGGTCTTGCCGTGCCTTTACTGAGGTTGAACTACGCCTTTCTCATCAAAAGTGGACAATTGAAAAGGATCGAAACACCTGGCCGGGAGGAGACCCGGTGAAGCATGACCACTCCGGGCAGAGCTTTGTACGCTCCCTGGAACTTGCCATGGTTGCGTGGAGTTCACCCTCTTTGGTATGAGGAAAATTCCCCACCGGCCATGCTATCCGCTTCCATGTTAGTTCCTGGGAGTATATATATATATGTGTAATATTGTTGATGTGTTTTGTTGTGCAACGCTTCGATGGGCATCAAGGAGAAACTGCTGGAAGCTGGTGATTGCGTTGGTGCGACACATGGTATTAGTCACCATTGTGTGCATCACTCAACTCTCGCCAACATGCAGCAGAATGCTACAGACAGTCAATTGCAGGGAAGCGGCTTTTGCTATATGGAGACAAATCAGGGGTCGGAGTGCCACAGAGGGACCGAGAAGCAATCTTGCAAGAAGAACACAAGAAGTACAGCCAGTTTTAGCCGTTACTGGTCCGTGGACTTGGTTTTGACTTGGTGTTTTGCGGAGGTCACAATTCAAGCTACGCAGCGATGTGAGCTCATCCTGCTCAATGTTTTGCCCGGCATGTTTTGCTCATCAGGTCGCTTCGTGATGACAACCACCTTCTCCGGTTACTTCGAGAGAGAGAGAGAGAGAGCACAAGGAAAGGTAATTCATGTGCAAGCCAACACCCCACATAAATGCAAACCTAATGAGCAGGACTGTAGCTTTTATTGTATATAGTAATTTACTGTCAGAGCTTAACCATATTGTATAGTTTGTTCACTCTATTTCTCAACCCCCTTGAAATTGTACATTAACAATGCCTGCGAATTTCTCATTTCTCACACACTTCCTTCATTCATCCACTGCATCGTTCACTTGTCATCTCTAGGTCATCATTCACATTGTAAAGTTTATTGAACTTGGACTCTTTTTTTGGACCCCCTTGAAGTTGTACATTGCTCAGCGGGTCCAACTTATATTATACAATGCAATTGTTCATTTCCCATATTGTTTTTTCATTCATCCACCGCAGGGTTCTTGCCATCTCTACTCTAGGCCGAAAAACAGAGTGATCTTCATGCTGACCGAAAACGAGTAGTCTCCCTTTTTTGTCTGACGTGTATGGCCAGGTACGACGGTTGAGACAACTCATTGGGAAGCAAGATGCTGCAATCAAGCTTCAACAAAACAAGTTGACGTGTGGATCTGAATGGTTTCAATCACTTTGGCTCGGCTTGAATTCTATTTGGGCAAGAAACTTCCGTTCCTGTCTCAGGTCCATCCTTCTCTCATCACCTGTGCTGTCAGCCAATGCCCTAGTTGCCATGATAAAGTCAGCACCTTTTGGCAAGTGATAGTTTTTTTGGGAGGCGCAAAGTGAATCGCTGGTGGCAGACATCTGCAAGTCTCTCGAGTTGAGTGAATACTTGCCAGGTGGGGCCTCCGCTTTTTGGGTGGAATCTTGCGGAACTGTGTTCATCTCTCTCACAGGGAACATAGACAAGGAAACCACGGACCGGGGAGGGTCCGTGCTCCACGTGTTTGTGTGTTTGACGTCATGTTGCAAATTCCTTCGAAGATGTTGATCACTCCTTTGCTTGCCAAGCAACGTTCTTCCAGGTGCCAAAATTCCGCCATCCATTGGGCTCTTTGTAGTGTTGGATGGCGAGGTTCAGGCCAGACATCAGGACCTTTGCAATGCTACAACCAAATATGAATGGGGAAAGTATTCGAGTCACGTTTGGGTGTGTGAGTGTGTGGCTCAAAAGTACCAAGGCTTTTTATAGAGGATGCCAATTTAGAGCCATACCCTTACGGCTTTCCAGATCGATTGCTGTTCGACCCTTCTTCAGGCTGGACATCGTCCATCAATGAGGATTCTTCGTCGGGGACATGTGGAGGCCCCTCCAGCTGCACGTGCTGCAGAAGGAGGCTGGGATACCGTCCGTTCGTCCATCTATCCCTCCATCCATCCGTCGAAAAGAGTCGAAAAGACCCTCCTTGAGGCAAGACCCCTGTGAAAGAAGGATGCTTCCGTGAAGCCAAGTGCTGGGGCAGTGCTTGCGCTACCCGGGGTTTCCAAGCTTCGCATGGCTTCGCATGGCTTCGGCAGGCGCATTTGATCGTGTGCTGCTGGGTTCGGTGCCATCTTCAGCGGACGATGGTGCTTGACGATGGGCGGTTGTGCACAGTGAAAAACCGGTGAACAAGCGGCCGAAGCTGAGGCTCACGATTGTGCCCTGATGGCTGGCCATTCCGGCTCCCGGCTGGCGGTGTTGCCTCAAAAGCTAAGGCACGTTGATTCATCCAAAGCAGGGCAAGAGTTGCAGGCATCATGCAACCATGTGGCCATTTGCCGACTTTGCCAGGACAGATGATGTTGCTGACATGAAGGCACGTGTCATCGCTGTACTGTCCAGAGCCAGCAGCTCAGCTGTAGAGGAACGGAACTTGAGATCGGGGCTTTCGGTCGCCCGTTACGGTCACGGGAGACCGTAAGGTTTCCATCTTTCGCCAAGTGCAGGAGGTGAAGGGCCAATGAATCGCCATTCAGCAAAGCTGTTCTTGTGAAGGCCGTCTTTGAAGTGAATTTTGCTGATGCGAGACAGGCCACCCTTGATGCGTTATTCCATTGCGTCAAGACGCAGATCTATCGGAAAGGAGACGAGATTGTCAAGCAAGGTGCTGCGGTAGAATGTATGCACACGACACGATATGACTCAAATATGATCTCTCTCTCTCTATATATATATATATATTGATGCAATTTGATGTGTATAATTTGTGCTTTGATGTCGCCACTTTGATAAATATATATATATATATACACTTATTAAAAAGATTCTGTTGTACCTCATCACAGAAAAAAAACACCTCCGGAAGGTGACAAAGGCTCACATTTCTATGTTATCGCAGCTGGTGAGGCGAGACGTTTCGATGTTCGGAACAGATTTGGTTGCGCTTCACTGGTTGGTAGAGCACGTACTTTCTTCACACCCACGTGTTTGGTGTGTGCGCGCTGTTGTGTTTTTTGGGTTCTGGCAGGTTGATACAGTTTTTGAAGCCAGCTATCATTGTTTCAGATTGTTTCCAGACTATAGGGAACACATCTATTGAATTTGATGGTTTTGCCAAACATATTGTTCTGTTGAGTCTTTGGATTCTGCTTTTCAGGGTGATCAGCTGACGCTTTTGACACTCTGGGGAGATGAGACGAGACTCACGTCGCTCCTGGGAGGTGGACATGATCAAGGATGGCCATGCTGTAAGGAGGCCGGAGACGACGAAACAAATTCCTTTTCCCTGCAAATGTGGAAATGTGAACAGATCCAAACCCTTTTGCCACGCTTTTCGACCAAGGAAGATTGGGGAGAAACTGATTTCGGTTGATGGAGACGAAACTTTGAACAAATCCAAACCCCTTTTTGCGAAAAAACACAATGTTTTCTTTTTCCCTGCAGACGACGAGGTTGGGGGGGCCGTAAATGCTCAAGAAAGAACCGGACGCGTGACCCGCTCTCTTGTGCCGTCCTCTTCCAGGCTGGTCCAAGGAGGCTGCTTTGGGGAGCGAGCAGTTCGATGCGAGGAGCCATGGCCCACGTCCTTCCACATGGCCCGGTTCGCCCAGAAGGGTCCGCGCCCGCGCTCGGGTGGGTCATGGGTGAGTCACGAGGGTCTCCGGTCACTTCCGTGGTCGGTCGGAGCTTGGCTGAGGCCAGTGCCGAGGGGGAGGTGTGGTTCTGGGACAGCTCCAGCTTGCTTCAGGCAGAGTGGGAGAAGCCGAGAGTTCGAGACTTCTCGAAGCTTCGAAGCAAGGTAAAGAAACTCGGAGAGCAAAAGTCACAGGTTTCAGCACCAGAGAGAGGGACGACCGGTGCGGAGCATTTCCATGAAACACCTCTTCTACAAGAATCCAGCCTGATGGTAACGAATGTAAGACTCTTAGGCGAGTGGGGTGGACGAAGACTCTGTGTTAGAGACCCAAAGATAGATGTGAAAAGAAAGCAAAACACCATGTCTTCTGCACACTGACACTGCTCCATACGGTCCGCAAAAACGGTCCCTTTGCCCAAGCTGAAGCTCCATCGTGCCAGGCACTGGGAAAGGAGATCAGAGCCTCGGAGCAGCTCCGACAGCGAGCGCTGTTACAAGATCCGGGTGTGAAGTGCCCTGGCCGGGTTCGGTGTCGGTTTCTTCACCGTGAGTCCGTGAGTCCGTGCGATCAGTGTGGCATTTGAGGTTTTGATGTTTTGATCTAATATAGAGTTCAGGAGCTTGGGGCAATATGATCCATAAGAACCTAGGAACTTTGTTGAGTTTGAGCGCCAGGCAATAAACGTAACTTCCAGGCTTAAGAGCTTGGTTTGACAATTTTAGTAATGAGCCAGGGGTGGCACATCAGACAGTTGTTTATGAGGTCGCCCCCCTGATAACTTAAACAAGATATACTACGGTAGCTTACTCTGGAGGATATTGGTTGATATGCTTGCCTTGGACGTAAAGCCAAAGGACCCCCCAAGGTTCTTATGGAGAAAATTCCTGGCCACATTCATGGCTACTTTGGCCTCGCACGGCCTGTCACCTGTTTGCTGTTGGTGAGGTTGGATCCCTGTGGTTCTTGAAGTTTCTGGTGCTGTGTTTTGGCGTCCATTTTCATTGAATCCAAAAGGCCAGGCTCTAACCTTGATGATGGCCAGCAGTCAGCCTACGAAACCCAAATGTCACCAATTGGAGTGCCCCTTGCAGGCCTAAAAACAGGGAAACTTTAATTTGGGTGGGGTGCCCAACCTCATCATTTAGGGAATCTCGAGCAGGTTGCTTTTGTCAACTTTATGTTGTTTTCACCAAAGGAACTTTATTTTTTTTTCATGGAGCCTAGGGAACCTGTGGATAACACAAGGGCATTATAAGTATACATTGAAACAATATATTATATATGTATCTCGTTTTTTCATGGACTCGGGAGGGAGTGGGTTAGTTGGTGGGTGTCATAGGGTGGTTTCATGCAAACACCCTTGGGGTGAAGAACTCTAACCCTTGGGGAACGAACGCCTCGAGGCTGCGAGACTTGCATCGACTTGGGCAAGTGGGGACCGGAACGTCTGGGACGGTTTGGTTGGCCGGGAGCCTGGGGTGTTTCCACAGTCAAGTTCAGGTGCAGGTTGGCTGGTCGTACAAGGGAATGTCGTGCACTTCTATCAGGTCAGACACAAAGAATCAGGAGCAAGATATGCACTGAAACGAATGGAAAAGGTCGACGACAACGACAAGGCAGAGCATTGATCTCTCATCACAGATATGTCACAGCATTGCTTGAGAGATCTGACTGAACATTCCGTGGGTCTTCAACCTGCATGCATCCGGGAGAAGTTGATACCAAGTTCAGGTATCACAGGAAGTGCAGCGTGAAATCGAGATCTTGTCTGAAAACGATCATCCTTTCCTTATGCATATGGTCTCGAACTTACTACCAGCATTGCTGCAAAGAGTTATGTCATCAACGATGACATCAAATCTACCACAATGATGTCGTCAGTCTTGGAAGCCGCTTACGTCCAGGTCAAGGCCTTGGAAACCTTACGGAATGTCTATGTCTTGGCCGAGTATGTGGGCGGCGGCGAGCTGGAACCTCAACCGCGCGCACGAAAACCGTCGTGACGTAAGGTTTTAGCATGGCTGGTATGACCTTGGGTCACCACTTGCCCAGCTTTTTTGCTTGTCACGGCCAAGCTGCCAAGCTCTATTCTTCTTCTCGTATTTCGAGGCTCTATGCTGCCATGCGATCCATCAACACAGTATTCAGCCGACAGCAGGCAATGTTTGGACCTCGGAAAGTGTGATGAATATATATACATGAATTCGACATGCTTATTCGGTCACGATCTGAGGTTTTATGCGGGCTCGATCCTGCTCATGGTGGAAGCGCTACATGAACGCAATGTGGTCTATCGTGACCTGAAGCCGGAGAATATCTTGCTTGATGAAGAGGCCCCACAAAAAGAAAGCTCCGGCTGCAGGAGATATGTAAACCACAGACCAAACGTTTGGCTTGAATCAATGCGCAATACTTGGACTGCGGACGGATCCATTGGGATTCTGCAGGGATACCTGAAGCTGGTGGACTTTGGCACTGCAAAGAAGTTGGATGCCAAATGTGGGAGAACCTTTACACTGGTGGGCACCCTCCTCAGCCAAACAGAATGCTCGATCACTGCCATGTTTCCTCGTTTCCATGATGTGGGTGTGTGGAGAGACTCCGGAGGCACCACTCACTATATGGCCCCTGAAGTCATGCGTGGCAAAGGATATGGCCTTGAAGTGGATGTGAAAAGCTCATGACAAACTGCTGAAACAGCATATGACTCCCTGCTGTTGGGCTATTTTTGAGTCTTTCTTGAGACTCGCTGGAAAGCCCAACACATAAAAAAGAATGGAGCTCAGGTTTGGGCACTTGGAATACTGCTCTACGAGCATGCCTGACCTGTTCTTGTGGGAAGTGGGCGTTGGGGCGTTGGAACAGGCGTTATCATGCGTTATCCAAAATGTCCCTTCAGCCAGTGATGTCTTGTAATAGGCTGCTTTGCGGGCAGCTTCCCTTTGGAGAGCACGCGGAAAACGACCGTGAGGCCGGTGGCCAGCCCTTCGCTCTGGCAGTCGGAAACGTCGTCCGTCTCGGTACCTGCCAGGTCTGCAGAGCCGTTCTGGCCGGGAAGCCGCGCATCCCATCGTCCTTGGAGGACTCGTCCCAAAGAATCCTGGTGAAGCCAGCAGTGTTTGAAACAGACGGATCGCACGGATCGTTGACATCCGGCGTTCCACGGACCGTGTTTTTCAATTTGGTTCACCCTGGATGTCGTTCCAGCACTCATATTGGGTCGTCACCAAAGTTCTGGACCATGTTTGGGTCGGGAACCTACCACTCCTACCTCAAACATCTCTCCTCGTCATTGCTTTATGTCGTGAGCCTCGCAATGATTGGTGAATCATACCATTCGTCTTCGCGCACGACAAACGCGTGGCACAAAAAACGCGAGTTGCATCGCGAAGCACGGGTGCCGAAGCATCGGGCACGAATCGCGACTGAAGCGTGCCCAAATCTTTATGATTTATGCAATTCAAGCTTTGTCCTTGCAAAAAGGTTGGAACTAATAAGACACTGTATATATATATATATATAGCACAGCACCTGTCACGAAAGCGAGCTCAGAAGGAGCTCAGCGGAAGTTGTTGTTTACGAAATATGGCGAGGCTCAAAATTGAAAGGTTCAGTGAACTAATTGATTCTTTCAAAGGGAGGGGTCAGCCGAGGGGGGGGGGCCCCCCTCCCTTTTTATTGATTCTTTCAATAACCACCCCCCTCGCAAAGGAATTGATATTTCAATTAGCAGATTGAAACGTCTAGGGGGGGGCCCTCCCCCCCCTGTAAAGTGAATTGAAAGAGGCTATTCGACTCCTCCCTCGTCCTTGTGAGAATGAAAGTCGAGTTTTTTTTAAGTGTTCGGTTGACTCAGCCAACAACACTTTGCGCTCGTGGCACAAAAGCGTTGCGTTGCTGCCCTCCCTCTGCGTCCCCTTGATCCTTCCACACCCCTCGCTTTCGTCCCCACTGTCCTCAAGTTTCTTCACCTCATTTGTTTAAATGTTGGTTTGTATATAATCTGTCAAATAATCAATGCCCAACCAACAAACACTCGTGAATCACAATGAAAAGTAAGATCAAAGACATTCAATCTTCGATGCCACACAGCAACGTAAGTAGATCAATTAAAGCTAGTAGATGCTAGTAGCGATGCACCTTGTTACTAGGAAAAAGCTGCCAGTACTATGCAGTAGTTGTTTTGCCTTAGAGGGCAGGGTTCAATTGCTCCAAGCATCTACATCGCCAGGTGTCTTTGCTGGAGCCTCGCCCACGTCGACGGCTTGGCTGTGGAGCAAATGGGCTACAGGAAATCAAGGACTGCTCAGACTGATACGGGTTTTGACATGTTTTGGCGGTTTCTTGCTAGAGAAGCAGAGATCTTGCTTTGACCTGTTTTGACAGCAAAACTGGCAAACGTTTCCAATCGTTTCGACGTGTGAAGTAGCCGCAGCTCGCCAGGACCATGGCTTCTTTCGCGCAGAGTCACATCACAATGGCGATGAGGTCCTGGAATTGCCTGGGTGCTGCCAAGAAAGGAGAAAATACATGCAACACGCAGGCGAATCGCTCGCATGGTGAGACGGAAGACGACTTTTTCACCCCTCTTCTGAGTTTGAACCTCAGCGAGCCAAAACAAAGCGTTTTCAACGAATGAAAAGAAGTGACATTCCAGCCTCTTGGGTCTTGTGACTTGTGGATTCTCTTCAGTGAATACTCCCATTTTCGGAAGATGGAACCGAGGTCGCATGCTGGATCCTCCGATCAAGCCTTCTTCCAAGGCACCGAGCCGTTGTTCCACTCCGTCTACCGCACCGCGGATCCGCGGATCCTCCGGTCAGTCACGTCGGTCGCTGCAGGGAATCCCTGAGCTGTCCGAAGAACCGCTCACAGATCAAGACGAGGAAGTTTCTCCGACCAATGGAAGAGCTACATGGGTCACCTAATTAGGACAGCTCCAGCAAATTCAGGATTTTTCATCTGTCTCTGAAAGAGCTTCTTCTACATGGTTGTTTCATGTGTTCTTTTTTCATTCATCTTTTTTCCTTTGCAATTTGCGGCAGGAAAAACGAAAGAAAGGGGAGCCAAGTACAAGGAAATGACTCGACGTGCCTCCACCTGTTGATCGCTATACAATGTTATACAGTGTTCCACTGTGTTTACAAGGTGTTTGTGTTGTTTTCCCAGGTGGTGAGGCCTTCAGAGGAAGTCAAGTGGCGGCACAAGGTGGAGGGTGTGCTGATGGAAGTCCGAAGACAACGATCCGCTTCATGGACGACGTGTGACCAGTGCGTGCAGGGTGAAAAAGAAGGGTTTCCTTACAGCATGCCACAGCTGTGCGATGTGCCAACGGCGGCGTTGTTGGGATTGGAAGTTTGCTGGGGATGCCCACGCAAAGAAGGGCATTGTTCAATCCAGTCTGTTCCGACGAACTTGTTCTGCAGGACCTTGAGGATTGTGCAGAGATGCTGAAGCTTGCCTCGAGGTCAGCCGCTGGACCCATCCGAAGATTTGGAAAAGACAGCGGAGGAAACGCAACATCTGCAAAATAAGATCTTTCTATGTCTTTCTAATTATTACACTTTGTAATAGGCATCCTCCTCACTGCAAACTTGAGGTCATATTATCACATGATCATAGGAGTTAAGATTGGCTCAAAACACAACTAGCAGGGGCGCTACAGGTATTGGCCATTTGATGTTCAAGTCTTTGAGGTAAGAAAGAAGCTTTTGGAAATAACACGATGTCATGCGATCTTCCTCATCTTCAGGCATCGTGCAGAATTGCTGGAGCGAGCAACACTGTCACTCATGGCAGCCAACTTGGATTCACCCGAGGCTGGGAACGCAAACGTTAAATTGTTCATCTCAAATTCATGATTTATTGACGCCCAATCTTGTCGATTTTGGGAAGGTGGAACAACAACTGCCGCATCTCCCGGAAGATCAACGAAAAAGATTGGAGGCAAAAATTTGATTTTCCTGTCCACGATGGTGACTTTGATCATATTCTCACGGTTTCTCGAGGAATTGGCTAAAAAACCAAGAACATCCTAATATCTATTGTTATTATAAATTTTTTTTAAATATCATATCATTATTACCATATATTTTAAGTATTATATAACATTAAATAATATTTTGATGGTAGCAACCAACTTGAAGCACCGCACAAGGTGTGCTCCAACTAACAAAGCTTGTCGAACGAAGCCGCGGACTTTTCACGGCCAGCGTAGCCGGGCTCACATGGCGTCATGACAGAAGCCCTCCCGAACCTGAAGTGGGGGTTCGTGCCGAAAGGGAAAAGGCACGGGCGAAAATGCACGATGTTCATGCATTAGTTGACGAACCTGGCACATCCACATCAATATGCGGATGCATATTCACACCGGTGGAAAGGGATGTTGGTTCGGAGGCATTCCCTTCAAACACTTCATCGGCCGAAAGAGATTCCAGGCCTTCAATCATCAGACTTTCTTCGCCTGATGGTGTGGACATTAAAAGGCGTCCAAGGTGCATGGCGCACACTTTGCAGGGCCTCAGTCGGTGAACCACGTTCGCGGTTCTGTTGCTTGCGCATGCTCTGTCGGCATGCCAGCACTCACCCTGCTCAGTTCTGAACATGTCGCCGTCGAGGGCTTCCATGAACATGTTCTTTGCTCGTTGCTTGATCTCACCCAGGTACATCTTGCGGATGCGCATTACGTTCTCCTCATAGGTGAGTCGTTGGTCTCGGAGTTTCTTTTCTGCTTGACCTCTGCAGGTCTTGTAGAGATTGTCAACTCTGATGACCTGGTTTCGAAGGTGTTCGTTTTCTTCTTAGGACCTTTTCTCGCCTTCGGAGTTGCACCAGTGTGAGGAGTGGTCTGTCCTCATTCGTCTGGGCATAGTTGTCGGTGGTGTTGTTCTTGCTCGGTGGTGCCGTAGGTGGTGGCAGGGACCTGCTTCTCGTCCAGGTGGTGGTCAGGAGGTGCCAGATCAAATTGGCCACTAGAGCAATTGCCAGGGTGAAGAGGATGATGAGGAACATAAAGTTGTTGTCATTCATGTTGTCGGTGTGGATTGTGTTGTTGTTGTCTGTGTTGAGTGCCACTGTCGTCGTTGTCATTGATGCCATCATTGCCATTTGTGTTGCCTTCTTCGGTATGGCATATCTCATCTGGCTTTGCTTTCGCTGCTGTAGTGTTTTCTTCTTTGATGCTGTGAAGTTCGGGTCTGGCCTCAGGCATGTGACGTGTGTTCGAAGTCGTTGCGCTAGTAAGCTCGCTGCGGTGTTCTTTGTCATGCCATCTGCATATTGTAGCTCACTTGAGACCCAGGAGGTTGTTGCTCCTGTGCATGCTAGTTTGTCACGGGTTACTAAGACCTCTATGCTTGTTTGCTTGTCTGTCTGTGATGCCGTCTGTAGGTCCTGCTTGGTGAGCAGGTCGTACAGGTCGTACAATGCCTTTGCGTCCACGATCAGTCGTGGACTGTGTGCCAACTTGGGTGCGTGGCTGTCTTCCAAGGCAAGGTGTGGTGACCAAATCAGCTTCCAGAGGAGGGCATCTGAAGCTTCTGATGCCGCCTGACTCTCTGCCGCCAGGCTTGACCGGGCTACACGTGGTAGCTTCCAACTTCTCTAGTCCACGATGTGGTAGCTGCCTTCTTGACCTGTTGTGACTGAGTGGTGCACGAGGAGGATCAATTGGCCTCCCTGTGAGGTCAGGTCATGTCTGCTGGCGAAGGCTGCATCGCTGTAAGCGATGAGAGTGAGGTCTTCTGGCCTTCCAATCCTTTGGAACTTGAGGCCAACATCGCTGTGCTGCTTTGCGAACCTCAGGCATTTATTTGCCTCACGGAGGGTGGATGTTGTTGCTTTGCTCGTAAGTGCAGCCAACTGGCTGACTGAGGCTTGGAGGTGTGGGCTGCTTTGGGTCGCAGGCCATTGCAACGCTCCAACTAGGCCTCTGAGCATTGTTCGCTGTTTCTCCGTCATAGGTTGGTCGCTGTTGGCGTTGTTGTTGGTGTCCTTAAAGGATATGGGCTTTTGCTTTGCCAAGTAGCTTGTGTGCTGCAGCTCATAGTGGTGTTGGTTGATCCGTTGGATCTTGGCGCCGCAGTACTCTATGTCAGAATCTTGCTCCCATGTCCGGAAGGTGAAGGTTTGCTTCATCTGTTTGATAAACTTTTGGAAGCTGGCGTTGTCCATGTTTCCACAGCCGAGGATGTCATCCACATGGAGACCAAAGAGTCCCAGGAGTGGTGGCTGTCGGACAGTGTTGCCATTGTCATCAGGCTGGTCTAGCCATTGGTCTTCCGGAGCGTCATAGTCATAGACCATGAACAGGCAGGGATCCAGTGGGTGGACCACAGCGCCGAATCGTGTGACTCGTTCGCGAGCCTCACTATACCAGGCTCTTGGGGCGTCGCAGAGCCCATACATTGGCTTTCTCAACTTCATCAGGGCTTTGTCTCCGTCTTGATCGGTGATCCCCAATATCTTCTTGGCGTCTGTTGGGAGTTTGATCCACAGAGTTCTGTGGCTCGGGTGCTCCTTTCCTTGTAGGAAGGCTGTTGAGACATCGGCTGAGAAGGTGCTCCAGCCGGTGTTGGCAGCTAGGGACATGATGTAGTTCCGTCCCATTCTGGAGAGTGTGGGAGCGTCAATGCTCAGTTGTCCACTCCAGGCATCCGGATCTCTGAATCCTTGGGTGATGAGCCTGGCCTTAGCTCTGGGATCACCGTTCGCTGAGCTGGTCTTTTCTGGCCTTCATGTTCTTTGGTCGTGGCGGTTGCTGTGCATTGTAGGCTTGCTCAGCTGTTTCTGTCTCGTTGTAGAAGATCTGTCGTGCTAGATGTCGGTAGGCAGGCATGATCTTGAAGATCGTCGATCCTGTCCAGGCTTGTTGCCTGTAGGTGTTCTTCTTCTGTTTCCATCTGTCGTACTGGTTCAGGCTGTCGCTTCCCAGTGTGTGGCGATCTTTGCTGAGGTAGTGCAGGGGGAGGGGACATCCTGTATCTTGTTCTGCTGGGTCGAAGTAGTGGTTCCTGGGCAAATAGTGTCGTCGGATCAACTTGTCATCTTTGAAGATCCACTCATCCCTCGTGTCTTCAAGAGTGAGGTAGCCGTTTTCCAGGCGCCAGCCTGGTGGCAGTGTGGTGGCGTCTGCCTTGGCCATGTCAGCCTCGTAGGTTGCCTGTAGAAGTGCCGTCTCTGGGTCAGGTGCTGGAGGCTTGTTGTAGGGACTTGTTGTTGATCTTCTGTTTTCAAAGACTTCTCTGTTCGGGCCATATCTGATTCGGCCAGTGGTGCTTGGGGTATAGAAAGACAAAGTTTCTTGTCGATCAACTCGTGCCCTCTGTTGTTGGAATGTCTCTCTGGTCTCAGGTGCATGGTACAGTGCTCGTTGGTGTTCCGGCACTGGAGCAGTGATCTCCTGTTCGATCACGCTTGGTGGTGGCTCTGGTTCTTCGCCAATGCTGGATGCTGGAGGTCGTGTTGTCTCTGCCGCCATTGGGGGTGATTCGGGTGTCTGTCCGCTGCTGTCAGCTCCTGTTGTGCCTGTACCGTCTTGTTGACTGGCCTCTTGTGCATTTGTCGTGGGATCTTGATCCATTGGCTGGTCTTCACCTGTTGCTTCACCGATTGGTGGAGTGGTCATCGCAGGGGCTGGTTGCCGGCGGTCTGTCCGCAGGATGAAGGTTGTGGTTCCAATCCAGTGGAATGGCATGCCTCTACTGGCATTTGGGAGTCGCCAGTCATCTCGCATCACGGTGCGGTTGCTGTAGGGCTGGTCTGGGCGTCGGATGGTGGTGGTTCTTGAGTCCTGGAAGTCGCGCCATGGGGCGTGCTCATCAGTTGTGGGTACATAAAGTGTCTGCCGTGGTCGAACATGGATGCGAGTCCAAGTAGGACCATCTTCATCGACGTCCCAATGATACGTCCCAATGATCATCAGGTTCTGCTGGTGCTGGCGTGTCAGTGATGGCGGCAGCCATTGATTCCATGATGTCATCTTCATCTTCGGTGACCACTTCAGCGCGTTTGCGCTTATTGGTTTTGGTGAGGTCGGTGTAGAGTGTCGTGCTGCGGCCACGGATCTGGTCCAATGCTTGTTTGGCTCTTTGTGTTGGCTCCGTCTCGTCATGGTGGTTGAGGTCTGGTCGCAAGTGTTCGCTGGACACTCTGAGGAGTGTGGTGCCGTGCGCAACCCAGTAGGTGTTGGTTGTTGGTCCTGTGCGACCGGGTTCTGTCATCACCACAACTGCAGGGCCTTTCCATCGAAGTTTAGGTCCTGCTCCACCAGGGGCGTCTCTCCAGTAGTAGACGCGTTGGCCAGTGGAGTAGTGAAACTGGATGGCCCTGGTGCTGTCGCAGCAAGGCACGTCGCAGCCGGGCATCATTGTCGGCCTCGATCACGGCGATAGCCGCTTGCTT